TGCCTGACAATTTTATTCTTTACTATTGTTTCAATTAATTTGCCCGGTACTGGAGTTAGACTTACCGGTCTGTAACTGCCCGGATTGCCTCTAGAGCCCCTTATAAATATTGGTGTCACGTTGGCTACCTTCCAGTCATTAGGTACGGAAGCCGATTTAAAGGATAGGTTACAAACTACCGATAATAGCTCAGCAATTTCCCATTTGAGTTCTTTTAGAACCCTTGGATGAATGCCATCCGGTCCCGGAGATTTGTTAACATTAAGTTTTTCTATTTGTTCCAAAACCTCCTCTAATGACACTTCAATCCGGGACAGTTCCTCAGATTCATCACCCACAAAGGACGGTGCAGATTCAGGAATCTCCCCAACATCCTCAGCCGTGAAGACTGAAGCAAAGAAATCATTTAGTTTCTCCGCAATGGCTTTATCGTCCTTGATTGCTCCTTTTATAGCTCGATCATCTAGGGGACCCACAGGCTTTTTAGCAGGCTTCCTGCTTCTAATGTACTTAAAAAACATTTTGTTATTTCTTTTTGAGTTTTTGGCTAGCTGTTCCTCAAAATCTTTTTTTGCTTTTCTTATTACATGTTTACACTTGATTTGACAGTGTTTATGTTCCTTTCTATTTTCTAATGTACTTAAAAACATTTTGTTATTTCTTTTTGAGTTTTTGGCTAGCTGTTCCTCAAAATCTTTTTTTGCTTTTCTTATTACATGTTTACACTTGATTTGACAGTGTTTATGTTCCTTTCTATTTATCTCACTAGGATTGGACTTCCACTTCTTAAAAGATACCTTTTTGTCCCTCACTGCTTCTTTTACATGGTGGTTAAGCTACGGTGACTCTATTTTAGGTCTCTTGCTATGTTTTTTAATTTGGGGTATACATTAAAATCCCCTCTATTCCTCAAATATTTCCTCAAACTATTCACAAACTCACTGAGCCCAGTAAATACACATCTTTGTTTATGTATGGAAACAAAATTGAATAAGAATGTATCTAGCTCTGTCGTACTATATTTGCTCTCCTACGCTCCCCGTGTGCTCCCAAAATGGAACTGTTCACACACATACTCTCTCTCTCTCACTACAGGTCACTGAGGCAGAACGCTTCCTGGTACTAGGGGCAAATAGACATTCCCATGCACTCATGGCCGCCCTACTGGGCGCACTAAAATGATTTGCTGAATATACACTCTGATTATGAAAGATGCAGACAGGAAATTTTGTTTGTGATACGATGGAAATGGTATTTTATAATTATGGAGATTGAAAGATCAATATTTAAAACTAAGACCAGCTTTCTTAGTACCTAATGCAAATATACAGTTCTTATCAGTACAAATTAGAAAGTAGTCTACAACCCATATTCTTCACAAGCCATTTATTAGATTGTCTGAGATATTAGGAAACCTTTTAAAAAACAAAGCATTACAGTTTCTCTTTATGCGATCTCTGGAAATAATGCAGAAGCTGCTAAGGAATCCTTATGCTCTCAGGACACACACAGAAATTAAGTGAAATACTTAAGATTTTTTTATAGTTCAGAAAAGTGAGATTGACAATTTTATGTTTAATCTCTACCTGCAATGTGTGGTCTTGTTGCATACTGCTCAAAGAGTAATTTTGGATGCTCAAACTCTTCAACATGCTGAAGAAAACTTTCTAGTTCCTTAAGTTTTAACTTCTTCATGTTTCTTTTTCAACTAAGAAAAACAATTCATTTATAATCAGGCATAGGTTTGCACTGTTATTCTTACAGTTATGTATAAAATACAAACTAAAAATTATTATAAAATTTAAAAATAATATTCATTAAAATCCTCCATCCTAATTTTCAGCTTTACCTTTTATGTATAAAGTATACTAAGTACTCCCCTATCCTCCCGGTGCGCTACCAAAATTGAACTGTTCACACGCACACATCCCCCACTATGGGCCACTGAGGCACCCCCTGGCACTAGGGCAAATGGACATTCCCACACACTCATGCCGCCCTGCTGGGGGCCCAAAAATGATTTGCCCCACTACAGCATCACACACACACGCTCAGCAGCAGTGCCCCCAGCCACTGAAGAGGATTACCACCGCCTAGCCCCAGGAGTCCTTGCCACCGCGCCCTCCCGTAGCGAGGGAGCCTCACGGCAGGGCAGAGTGATGCTGAGAGTCGTGCTGCTGGTTTCCTTCGCTTCAACGCTTGCGGCGCAGGGCGCTCCTGGGGATGCCTCCTGCGCCCGGCACAAGGCGCATTCCCCGCCCGCCGGAGGAGCGCTCGCTCGGAAACTGCCGTGCCCATCCTGCAGACCCCGCCATCCCAAGCACCTACCTCATTGCACGGCCTCTCGCCACACGGTGCAGCAGTTTAACTTGTCCCCTATGCACATATGAAACTGAGACCAGCACTGGCAGTTCCTATTTAGTCCCAAGCAGCTATTAGCAGCGTTGTACCCTGCCCCTAGGCACCTTTCCTTTCCCTCTTTGCGCTATGCAGGCGGTTGTAATCTCGTCTGCGTCTCAGGTTAGTAGTAGACAAGGTTGGTAAGGTAATACCTGTTATTGGCCCAATTTCTGCTGGCTGAGAGACAAAGCTTTAGAGCCCTTGAATCACCCCTTTATATATGCAGAAAATACTTATGCTAAACCAGTGGTTCTCAAACTTTTCTCTTTGCACATAGCAAACCTGTGACTATGAAAATTAAAAACACTTTTTAATATTTAACAATATTATAAATACAGGAGTCGAAGCAAAGCTTGGGGTGGGGGAGAGGCTGACACCTCATGATCCTCACATAACCTTAATAACTCCCTGACGGCTCACCCTGCCATTTGGTTTAAGAAACCATCCTAACCGTGCTGTCCTATGTGTATTTAGCTGGCAGGCTTCAGTACTTTTCTCAGACCTGAAGAAGAGTTTTGTTTAAGTAGCAACACTTGTCTCTCTCACCAATGCAAATTGGCCCAATAAAAGTTACCACCTCATCCATCTTGTCTTCCCTGCTTTGCTCCTTCTAGACCAGTGATGGGCCACAAAGACTAGTGAGTGGATCGCGTGAGTGGCCCTCTTTTGTCTCAGTGGGCCGCATGATCGCCAATGGTGGATAACCTGCAGACCACAGACCACTGCACTTCCACCTGTGGCAACCTCCCTTTCTGCTTTCTTCTCCCACATGCCTCTCACACACTGGGACACCAGAACCCCACACTTCCTACTTCTCTCCCTCCCAGAACTTTTGATTTGCACTCCATCCCCCCCACCCTCCCTGCCTCTCAGCTGATTTGTGGGCATTCAAGCTCTGGGAGAGAGAGAAGTGATGGAGTGTGAATTAATGGATTCATGGCACTCTCAAAGTGCTCAGGGAGGGAGAAGGAGTAGGAAGAGCTGGGCTCTAGTGCCCTAGTGTGCGAGGGGGAGGAGCTCAAACAGGGGGTGTATGGGATGCAGCCCCCATTGGGCTGCATGTAGCCTGTAGGTTGCCCAGCACTGTTCTAGACACAGCAGAAAGAAACAGAAGAGATCACCATATGAGCCTTTTGGTTGGCAGAGTTGAGAAAAATACTCCCCTCTTTTGCTGGTTTGTCCTCTCTGATGAATTGAACTTGGGCTTTGTGAAGGACACACACACACCCCATGCATCTATAACTGAGTACATATTTTTGCAAATGCATATTTGTTGGAGTAAATACATGAAGATCCTATCTTTTTAATTATTTTTCCAACAAAGTGCATATGTTAAATGTTTTGCAAAACACTTGCAGGTTCAGGGCTCTCTAACAGTTCACTGACAAATAAATGTCTGCAACAAAATTCAAGTTTCAGTTCTCCAATGCAGTGATTCAGGAGCTATTAGGTAGCTTTGAATTCCTCCCAGGTCACCATTTCTCTAGCAGCTATCTCTTTATTTCATATCATAGTCGTTGCTTAGCACCAGATTTTAGTGACCAAAACACTGGCAGCTTCACTGTCTACTGGAAAGATTGTCATCTTTTAATAGATTGGGCTTAAGTGTTTTTACACTCATTTGCAATTCCTAGAATTCTAGTGAAAATATATCATGCTGATTGCACATTATTCTTTGGATTTTTGTTCCTAATGTACCAAAATACAAGATTAATTATTTTATTGATGGAGTATGCCAGCAGGAAAGTGAGACACAAGTAATGTTTTCACATCTCTTTTTCAGCTCTGCAAAACTCTCAGTTCTTTTCCTAGACCTGAAGAGCTCTGTGTAGTTTGAAAGCTTGTCCCTTTTACTGGCAGAAGTTCGTCCAATAAAACATATTACTTCACCCACGATATTAAATATCTTGGGACCAACATAGCTACAACACTACAAGCACAGCCGTAGGAATAATGGTGTTGCAAAACCAGCAGAGGGAGCATGCACTTTTTTATTTGTTAAGCCAAATAAAATATAGGTTTATTTTTGTTAAAGCAACAGATTTTTTATTTTAAATTTGCCATGAGACAGTGGTAAATCTAATTATCATTATAATAGCCAACAGTTGTAAATTTAAAAATACTATAATCCAGAGGACGTTCCCTAATAATCGGTATCAGATAGCTGCATTGGTCAATTTCAGAAAAAACAACACAAAGTCCCATGACACTTTAAAGACTAATTAATTTATTAGGGTACTAGGGTATAAGTGCTGTTCCTGCAGTTTACAGTGCAGAACTTCACATGGATACAGCAGTAGTCTGTATTGTAAATTACAGGACTAGGTCTTATAGCAGCTCAAATTTGATTTGTGGTTTCATTTACTTAATAGCAACTCTATTCCTTTATTGGGGATGTTAAATTTAGGTTATTTTAGTAATTGAATAGTCAACAGAATTATTGACTACTCCATAGTGGAAGGCAGCCCCACTCAGTCCTGGCTCACACCAGGACCAAACCCCACTACAGCTCTTCAATTTAAAAGGTAGTAGGAGCTGGGGGTAGACTGCCTGGCTCCTACTGCCTTTTAAATTGCAGAGCCACACCAACAACTACCTGCACCCTCCCATTGCTGCCTTTGATACACTTATTGGTTAATCATGTGGTTCACTACACATTGATATCCCTAATCTAAGCAGAAGGTTTTTACTTGAAGATTAAAAATATTTATTTTATTAGTATAGGTTATAATCTTTCTAGAAATATTTTATTTCTCTAAAAATACAATGGCACAATGCAATTGATACAACTTTTGCAAGAGACCTGTCTATATTTAAATTTGGACGGGCGAGGATCACAGATAAAAGCTAATATTATATCATTTAGCTTTTAAAAGGTCAAAACTTGTATCCATTTTCTCTTAAACGTTTAGAGTGAAACCTGCACAAGCCACCTCCCTAAGCAAGCTTCTGCCGTTTAAGCACCTGTCTCACACGGCTCACTTTCTTTTGTAGCGAGGGCTGCAAGAGTCTCAGATGAGAGGCGCTGTAAGTACCACGTCACGTACGAGGCCGGGCTACAAGACACAACAATGCCCTTCTCTTTAAAGTTGCTGGGAAGTTACCTCCTTGTGTGGCGACCTACCTAGGCCGTGCCCAGCGCAGGGCGCGTGAGAGGCGGCCGGCGGGCTAAGAGCAGGGCCTGGGAGGAAGCGGAGGGACAATGTCAGGCGGAGGCAGACACGGGGCGGGGGCAGCGGGCGGCTTGCGACGGGCACGGTGCCGGCTCCCAGACTATCGCGAGAGAGGCGCCGCTAGGAGTGGAGAGAGGGCTGGGGGTAGGAGCCCCAGAGCCGGGAGATATACACTCTGATTATGAAAGATGCAGACAGGAAATTTTGTTTGTGATACGATGGAAATGGTATTTTATAATTATGGAGATTGAAAGATCAATATTTAAAACTAAGACCAGCTTTCTTAGTACCTAATGCAAATATACAGTTCTTATCAGTACAAATTAGAAAGTAGTCTACAACCCATATTCTTCACAAGCCATTTATTAGATTGTCTGAGATATTAGGAAACCTTTTAAAAAACAAAGCATTACAGTTTCTCTTTATGCGATCTCTGGAAATAATGCAGAAGCTGCTAAGGAATCCTTATGCTCTCAGGACACACAGAGAAATTAAGTGAAATACTTAAGATTTTTTTATAGTTCAGAAAAGTGAGATTGACAATTTTATGTTTAATCTCTACCTGCAATGTGTGGTCTTGTTGCATACTGCTCAAAGAGTAATTTTGGATGCTCAAACTCTTCAACATGCTGAAGAAAACTTTCTAGTTCCTTAAGTTTTAACTTCTTCATGTTTCTTTTTCAACTAAGAAAAACAATTCATTTATAATCAGGCATAGGTTTGCACTGTTATTCTTACAGTTATGTATAAAATACAAACTAAAAATTATTATAAAATTTAAAAATAATATTCATTAAAATCCTCCATCCTAATTTTCAGCTTTACCTTTTATGTATAAAGTATACTAAGTACTCCCCTATCCTCCCGGTGCGCTACCAAAATTGAACTGTTCACACGCACACATCCCCCACTATGGGCCACTGAGGCACCCCCTGGCACTAGGGCAAATGGACATTCCCACACACTCATGCCGCCCTGCTGGGGGCCCAAAAATGATTTGCCCCACTACAGCATCACACACACACCCTCAGCAGCAGTGCTCCCAGCCACTGAAGAGGATTACCACTGCCTAGCCCCAGGAGTCCTTGCCACCGCGCCCTCCCGTAGCGAGGGAGCCTCACGGCAGGGCAGAGTGATGCTGAGAGTCGTGCTGCTGGTTTCCTTCGCTTCAACGCTTGCGGCGCAGGGCGCTCCTGGGGATGCCTCCTGCGCCCGGCACAAGGCGCATTCCCCGGCCCCCGGAGGAGCGCTCGCTCGGAAACTGCCGTGCCCATCCTGCAGACCCCGCCATCCCAAGCACCTACCTCATTGCACGGCCTCTCGCCACACGGTGCAGCAGTTTAACTTGTCCCCTATGCACATATGAAACTGAGACCAGCACTGGCAGTTCCTATTTAGTCCCAAGCAGCTATTAGCAGCGTTGTACCCTGCCCCTAGGCACCTTTCCTTTCCCTCTTTGCGCTATGCAGGCGGTTGTAATCTCGTCTGCGTCTCAGGTTAGTAGTAGACAAGGTTGGTAAGGTAATACCTGTTATTGGCCCAATTTCTGCTGGCTGAGAGACAAAGCTTTAGAGCCCTTGAATCACCCCTTTATATATGCAGAAAATACTTATGCTAAACCAGTGGTTCTCAAACTTTTCTCTTTGCACATAGCAAACCTGTGACTATGAAAATTAAAAACACTTTTTAATATTTAACAATATTATAAATACAGGAGTCGAAGCAAAGCTTGGGGTGGGGGAGAGGCTGACACCTCATGATCCTCACATAACCTTAATAACTCCCTGACGGCTCACCCTGCCATTTGGTTTAAGAAACCATCCTAACCGTGCTGTCCTAT